CTTGCAGTTGTTGAAGAAGCTTGACCTTCGAAGGAACAACAAAGCCAGCACGAGTGCAGTAGCAACATTGGTCTTGTGAAGATATACCGTGCAGAAATTCACACAAGTGTAATTGTTGGTTCATTATTCAACAACCAACTACATAGTGGATTTTGAGGACGTAGAAGGATTACCCCACCTTCGAACCTCGTTAAAGTTTGCGTGTCTCTCTCTCTTATCTTTATTCTTACTTGCAATTATATTAACGGTGAAAACTAACCTATCCATATTGATTACTGCTCACTCTACCCACCAAATTCCGCACACAATCTAAAGTTCACAAGGACTCTAGATTAACACTCATTTTCACGTTTTCAAAAGAAACGAAAAAGATTTTAAATCTGTAACAAAGTCTATTCACCCCCCCTTTAGACTTTGTATTTCACCACTTTGGGACCACCACATCATTTGTGGAGTTTAATCTCCACCTTCCCTTTTTGAAACTGCTCACCAAAGTACCTCTTAATCTGTTGCCCATTGACCTTGAACGTACCAGATTCACCTCTCAACTCTACAGTCCCATAAGGGAAGATTCTGGTGATTGTGTAGGGCCTTGTCCATCGGGAACAAAGTTTGCCTCGGAACAATCTTAAATGGGAATTATAAAGCAACACTCTTTCGCCTTCGTGGAAGACCCTATTCTGCTTGATATGAGCATCATGATAAAGCTTGTATAGCTTAGCATTATGAAATGCTAATGCTCGCCATTCGTCTAGCTCATCTAGCTGATAAAATCTTTCTCGCCCAGCTTCAGAAGAATCAAGGCAAACACTACGCAGTGCCCATAACGCCTATATGCTCAATTTGTACTAGAAGGTGACAAGACTTTCCGTACACAAAGTGAAAGGGAGTTGTACCAATTGGCGCTTTATAAGCCGTGCGAAATGCCCATAGGGCATCATCAAGTTTCTCGCTCCAATCCTTCCTCGTTCGGGCAACAGTCTTTTCCAAGATTCTCTTTAAATCCATGTTTGCGTTTTCCACTTGCCCTTGCGTCTGAGGGTGGTACGCCACTCCTCCTCTATGCTGAACTCCATAATGTTCTAACGCCTTAGATAGCAGATCATTTCGGAAATGGGTACCCTTGTCACTTATTATTAGTCTTAGAACTCCAAATCTCGAAAATAGTTTCTTAAAGAAGCGAACCACAGTACGGCCATCGTCTCTTTTGCAAGCTTGGGCTTCAACCCATTTGGAGACGTAATCGATGGCAACGAGGATGTATTTATTACCATAAGAACTCGGGAATGGCCCTACAAAGTCGATTCCCCACACATCAAATACTTCACATGGCAGCATGTAATGCTGTGGCATCTCATCTCTCTTAGATATATTGCCCGTTCTTTGACAGCGGTCGCAGGAAGCAGCAAACTCATTAGCATCCCTAAAAAGCGTTGGCCAGAAGAATCCTGAGTCCAACACTTTCCTTGCTGTCCTTGCTCCTGATAAGTGTCCGCCAACTGGGCCACTATGGCAGGCTGCCAAAATTTCCTTTCCTTCTGCTTCAGTCACGCATCGCCGAACTCTTGGCCTTGAATGCCGTACCCCGTAACCGTTTTGATGTGCCAAATAAGTCTTCCAAATGCTACTAACATCATTTGCAGGAAGAAACCAAACGCCAAACCTCTATTAGCTTGTTTAGCATCACCGAGATATACTCCTCCGAGTTTAGAAATTATTGTGTAAAGGTAATAATATATATTTTAATGATTTACTTATGCCCTTTCACTCAAAAATTAATTTTAAATGTCAAATATATTTTAAGTTGGGGTCATTTTGAAAACGGAACACGAAAAACGAGTTTTGGAAAATTTACACTGGCCTAACGGTACCAGGCTACCGTGTACACGGCACCAGGATACCGCCGGTAGCCAAGTGAACGTACCATAGCACGTTTCACTGAAGAGGTACACGGTACCCCCTACCGTGTAACGGTACCTAGGTACCGGACGAAAGGCTGAGACGGATGGTTAACCCCGTCCAAACCAGGTACCGCCAGAGGCGAACCAAACTTTAGGCATACACGGTACCCCCAAACGGTAGGCTATACCGTGGGTCACGGTACCTAGGTACCGGACGACACTGACCCTACCGTGAAGGGTACCGGATCCGTTGGCAGCACTGTAGCAAATTGCCAATTTAAATTCAAATCACCCCTAATCACTTCCTAACGGCATTTAACATCAAAAACTCAAATTTTAACATTCCAAACTCCTATATAAACCCCCTTTAAGCCTCATTTTAAAAACAACAACTTCCTAATTAATTCTAAAGCCTCTTTCTCTATTCTTGAGTGTTCTTAAAGCCTTGTTCTTATTTTTCTTACACTTTTGAGTAAAAAGCTTTCATCTTTTTATACACTCACACACAAGGGCATTTGTGCTTCATTATTTTATATCTTGCCTATAGGCTTTTGCTGTTGTTGTTGATTTAATCTTTTGTTCTTCTCCTACCCAACTTACATTTGTTATCATTTTGGTAGAGAAGCAACACCAATCTTTTTATTGATTTGTAAATGGTGTGGATAGCCTCTAAATTCTCATTGTAAGGTTGAAGATAGCCTTAAAATCTTTGAGGAGGAGCCTCGAGGTACTGGAGTAGGGAGTTCCCGAACCAGTATATAATCGCCAGTGTCGTATTTTTTATCCTTTATATCCTTCTTGCTCTTTTTCCGCTACTACTTTGCGCATAAGTTTTTGTTTTCTACGAAAAATTTGCAAACACCCTAATTCACCCCCCTCTTAGAGTGTAAACCGACTTTCACGAACTACTTGGTCCGCACAAATCCCGAAAAGGTAGGGGTCGTCCCAAAAGTAGAAGTGAGCTTCTCGCTTAAGCTTCTTGCTTAGGTGCGGTGTCAGCAAGGTAGGCTCGATCTTCCCTGCCAAATAATTGGCAATATCCGCATACCAAGGTTCCTTTTCTTGTATAGCGTGGATCCTCTCAAAGGGAAAGGACTCGTTCACTATACAATTGCCAAATTGCTCGGCTACTTCCACATCTAGACGAGATAGATGATCTGCGGCTTGATTGGCCAAACCTTTTCTATCCTTGATCTGTAAATCAAATTCCTGCAACAATAAAACCCATCGTAATAACCGAGGCTTTGCATCATTCTTTTGCAACAGGTACCGCAACGCCGCATGGTCAGTGTAAACGACAACTGGAGAAAGAATGATGTAAGGCCTGAATTTTTCAAAAGCGTATACAATTGCTAGGAATTCCTTCTCAGTAGTTGTGTAGTTGAGTTGCACTCCCGAAAGGGTTTTACTAGCGCAGTAAATTGGGTGAAAAACCTTTTCCTTCCTTTGTCCAAGGATTGCTCCTACTACTAAATCGCTAGCGTCGCACATGAGTTCAAATGGTAGGGCCCAATCTGGGGCGATAAGAACTGGGGCTGAGATTAGTTTTTCTTTCAAGGTATTGAATGCTTGTAAACATTCATCCGTAAAAATAAACTCTATACCCTTCTCTAGTAGGGCAGTTAGGGGTTTTGCTATTTTAGCAAAGTCCTTGATAAACCTTCTATAAAATCCTGCGTGCCCTAAAAAACTTCGGATGGCTTTTACGGAATTTGGCGGTGGAAGCTTCTCGATAGTCTCGATTTTAGCGTGGTCCACTTCTACCCCACGACTCGATACCTTGTGACCTAAGACTATTCCTTCTTTTACTAAGAACTGGCATTTCTCCCAACTAAGAGCTAGGTGAGTTTCCTCACATCTTATGAGAACTTTTTCTAGATTACCTAGGCATTCGTCAAATGACTTCCCTGTGATAGAGAAATCATCCATAAAGACTTCCATAAAATCCCCTATAAACTTTTCAAAAATAGCTATCATACACCTCATAAAGGTGGCAGGGGCATTACAGAGTCCGAATGACATCCGACGAAATGCAAAGGTTCTGAAGGGGCAAGTGAAAGTGGACTTCTCCTGATCTTCGAGATTTACATGGATTTGGAAATAACCACTCATCCCATCCAGGAAGCAATAGTATGCATGGTCAGCTAATTTCTCAATGAGTTGGTCAATGAAAGGAAGGGGGAAATGATCCTTGCGTGTGGCATCATTTAACTTTCTATAGTCTATGACCATTCGCCATCCAGTCACCGTTCTTCCTAGAACTAATTCTCCCTTCTCATTTTTGGTTACTGTCATTCCACCCTTTTTTGGAACAAAATGGATTGGTGACACCCATTGGCTATCGGAAATGGGAAAAATTATTCCAGCATCCAGGAGTCTAAGCACTTCTTTCTACACTACCTCTATTAATTTTGGATTTAACCTGCGTTGAGCCTGCACAACTGGTTCAAATCCGTCCTCAATGGCTATTTTATGTGTGCAATAAGCGGGGCTTATTCCTTGAATATCCTCTAGTTTCCAAGCAATTGCTTGCTTGTGCATACGGAGGACAGCTAGTAATTTTTTCTTCTGATCAGGTGTTAGATCAGAGGCTATGACAACAGGGCACTGGCCCTCACTATCGAGGAAAGCGTACTCAAGGTGTGATGGTAAGGGTTTAAGTTCTAAAGATTTTGCTTCGTTTGTGGGTTCAGATTGCGTCTTGATAACACACACCTCCTCACACTTAGGTTCTTGAAAATCAATTTCTAGGCTTAGAAGATCTTCTACAGACCCTTTATCTTTTATGACTTTAACTGAGTTGCAGAACTCAGCTGGGTCTGGGGTTCGATTCATGACGCTCATCATCTTAAAAGTGACATCTTCATATCCTACTCTTAGAGTTTATTCTCCATCGTGCACAATAATCAATGCCTCTGCGGTCGCAAGGAATGGTCGCCCTAGTAATAGCGGCTTTTCCTTCTCTTCTTCCATATCCAATACCACAAAATCAGCAGGAAAGATGAACTTATTTACCTTCACATGTACGTCTTCAATCACCCCCCCTAGGGTAACGAATACAGCTATCTGCTAATTGAAGACATATCTGAGTAGGTTTGAGTCCAGTCAATCCCAACGCTTTCATGATAGAGGACGGCATTAAATTGATACTAGCTCCTAGGTCAGCTAGAGCGTCTCCAAAGGTTCTATCGTTAATGGAGCAAGGGATGATGAAACATCCAGGATCCTTTCGTTTTCTAGGAATTTCTTCAAGTAACATAGAAGAGCAGTCAGCATTTAAGCTGACAACTGGGAATTCCTCCCAATCCCTCTTCTTAGTTACGAGGTCCTTTAAGAATTTACCGTATTTGGGCATCTCAGTTAACACATCTACCAAGGGCATTTTGACCTCAACTTGGCAAATGACGTCGAGAAACTTTTGGAAAGCTTTCTCGTCCTTGCTCTTTTTAACCCTAGTAGGGAAGGGAATAGTGTTTAGCTGAGTTTGTCTGGCTAGTTGGGGTTGGCTGGATGGGGTTTCTTCCCTCCTCGTCTCTTGGGGTGTGGATTCAGACTTCTTTTGAGAGGTTGTTCCTATAGAAGTATCCACAGGGACTTCTTCTATATCACCTTCGACTTCTGGGCCTTGAAGCTCTTTACCACTTCTCAAAATTATGGTCTGAAGTTGCTCCCTTGGGTTTGGTTCGGTGGTAGCTGGGAGGTTCCCCTGTTCTCTAACTCCGAGTTGTTTGAACACTTGTTGGAGTTGGTTATCACGCGTCTTGTCGCGTTCCTTCAAATCATCTGCGAGATTGTTCATCTTCTGCATGCACTCCATCATCATCTTCTCCATTCTTTCCAAGGAATCTTCTTGGGGAGGTTGGCGATTATGAGGTGGAACGTAGGGTGTATTGTTATTTTGGTAATTGGTTTTGTTGTTGTTCCAATTACCTTGTTTATAGTCATCCCTAGGACGATTGTTTCTAGAAAAGTTGTTTCTCTCCCACCATTGCTCCTGATTGTTCTGGGCCCAAGGTCCTTCCCCTTTATTCGCGTATTGTGCTAGATTAACGTCTTTAGCCTTACTCGGAGGGGGTGGTTCAATCAAGGGACAAGCAGAGGAAAGATGATTTTGAGAGCAGCGCTCACAAGACAAGACAAGATCGGACTGGTGGTGACTACAAGAACCATAGATTTCAGCTTGATTCACCGGTTCAGTATACAAGTTAGGACGTGGATGGGAAGCTTCTAGGTGTTCCTTGATAGTTTGTTTCACGATGCTCTCCATACTAGCCTTGAGGGCTGTGAATTGGTCTACTTCATACATGCCAGCTTTAGGAGGAGGAGCTCGGTCTTCATACCAATATTTAGCATTCGATGTAAGTCTATCTACTAACTCCTCATTCTCCTCAGGTGTCATCTCCAGAAAAGAACCAAGTTTAGAAGAGTGGTCCAATTCCTTCTTAGGTGGTACCGTTAAGCCTTGGTAAAAGTAGAACATCAAACTATCGGAATCAATTAGAGCAGGTGGGCATTTAACCTTCAATTCCTTGAATCTTTCCCATGCTTCGCACATCGATACCATAAGTGCTTGACGTAAGTTTTGGATGGAGTTCTTTATTTTCACCATAGCAGATGGTGGAAAATATTCGTGCATGAATGCCTGGTGCAACGCCTCCCAGGTCTTGAAGTGGCCATTAGGGAATGTATTTAACCATCTAGCTACCCGATCCCGAAGGGAAAAGGGAAAGAGCGACAGTTTAACACGATCCATGGATAAGCCGTTGGACTAGAACGTTTGGCAGGTCCTAGAAAACCACAACATGTGCGCTCTTGGATCTTCAGCCTTTGAGCCTCCAAATTGATTATTCGAGACCATTTGGATCATTGCTGGTTTGATTTCAAATGAATGGGCTTGACTAGCGGGGAGACCTATGGGATCTTCCTCTACGTACGCCGGGCTCATGGCTTGAAGGATCGTTCGTCTAGGATTAGCCGCCATTTCTTGTTCCTCTTCCTCCTCTGAGTGTTCATTCTCTTCCTCGCGATTTGCCTCTTCTTCTTCCTCTTCTCTTCGCTCTTCGTCGTTGAACTCCAGTTGACGAGGAATTCTAACGGTACGGCGTCGGAGCAAAAGTTCAGGGTTCTTGGTTCCCGGAAGAATGTTCTCACCGCGAGAACGGGTGTTCATACAATTTTGTAGGCTGGAGAGAGGATCCTAACAACTATCTAGTAAAAACTAAAAAGAAAGTTTTTTTTTGAAAATCGTTTCTATCAACTTTCTTTCAGGCTAACTAAAAAGAAATCTTACTAATAACTTTCTGCGCCGATCCCCGGCAACGGCGCCATTAGATGAGGAATTTTTCTTTAACGCAAAACTCCCGTAGTAGTAAAGGGAACAGACTAGATCTTCTAAAAGATCAGTTTATCCCGTGTCGTCTCAAGGATCCGCCCAAGGGAAAGTTAAGCAAGACTAGTTAGACAAGATTTACTCAATGAATCAAAAAGTTTTCAAAAGGTCGAATAAGGAATGGAGATTGAATTTTTATCTTTCAGAAATAAAAGGTAGGGATGTAAGTATTGGTTAGGTGATGGTTCTTTTTAGAGTAAAATCACCAGTTACTTTTACCTTAAATCTTTTTACTAGTAAGTAAACATCTTTTCAATTATTTACTTAACAATCAATCCAATGTCTAAAGATCAATTATCAAACTACTGGACTTGACTTAATTAAATTCCAGATTTCTCAAGAAATATAATTTTCAAAAAAAATAGATTTGCTTTCTCTCGATTTACAAATCTCAAGTATAAACTCTCAGTAATAAAAACTAGTAAATTCCCTTTTATAATTCAACTCAATGATTCTCTCAGAAAATTACCATCACCATTCCAATAATCACATCACAAATTAATTTAGCTACTCATAATAAAAACTTCCAACACACATGCATCATAAGAAGACATTTTTCACAACTATCATTTTTCAATTGTTTGAATGAAGTTGTTTAGACTTCTTGACTCTAGGCCCGATGTTAAACGAGGCACTTTTGAGGTTCCTTATTATGATTAGATTTTATACTTTCACCGAAACATTTAGATCTGATTAAATGGAGAAATTCGGGTTTTTGGGAGAAGAGGGGCGCTGTGTAGCGTGTGAAATCGGAGAGGGGGAGTGTTGTATTTATAGGATTAGGCACGAAGCGTCCAACCCCTAGCCGTCCGGATCCAAAGTGTCCAAAGTAGGACGCCTTACGCGGCCCGTCCATTCGCTGCTTGCCACGTGTCATTCTTGACGCCCAATCATTGCCAAGCGTCCAAGGGGAAGCGTCCAACCCGCAAAGCGTCCAAGGTTGGACGCTTCGGGCCTTCTCTTGTGGGCTTTTTCCGTGGCTTGATCCAATTCGGGCCTAGTTTTCAATTTTCACTTTGCTTCGCAGTCTGTTTCAGCTTCCTCCGATATTCTCATGATAAAATTCTCAGTTAAAAACTTCTTTTTCTTTCAAATATAAGTAGAAAAATCAACAATCAAGACTGGACAAATTTTAAACCAATTATTATTCCTTAAAGAACAAATCAAAGATATTGTTTAGTTTAACATAAAATTATGCACTGCTTATCACTATTTTCGTGCAATAACACTTAAAATATGTAGAATAAAATAAGAACAAAATGAACTTATCAGAAACACCGTCCATGGAAGCTCTAGCGCCTTACATGCCTCGGAGTTCTTCTTCTCATGCCGCTCCTTCTGATGATGATGGTGATGAAGACGATGAGGATGATGAAGGGGAGGATGCTATTGAACAAGACGATGGAACCTTGGATGAGGAATGAGTGGATTGGGAAATCATTTTCTATCTTTGACTATTTTTACTTATGCCTTATTTCTCTCTAGTGACTCTATCTTTTGCATAACCCCTTGTGTTTTTTATTATGACTTTGACATTTTCTGAGATTTTACCTTCCCTTTTTGCTTATGACAAAAGGGGGAAGTGTGGGTACTGCTTGTGCTTGGTAAAGTGCACACAAATAGGGGGAAGTTACTTTCTTGAACTTTTTCTAATGATTAATTAGTTGGATGTTTGCTTGTGTCTTGTGTGTGTGGTTAATTTGTTAAGAGACAGGAATCCTTGTGATTTGAGTCCAAGCACTTATTGTTAAGTTGGGTTTGTCATTATCAAAAAGGGGAAAATTGTTGACCCTTGTGTTTTGATAATGACAACCATGCATATGCGATGAGCTTTGGATCTGGATCTTTTCATGTTGATTGCCTAGTACGTTGCTTAGAGATTCAAGCCAAGATTTGAAGATTAAAGGTTTTCTAGATTTTTATTTCTTTTAAGTCTTAGTTCGTGTTAAAGTGTATGGCACATCTTTATTCTTCAAATACTTTGTTTTTCCTACAAGAATTCCTCTTTAATTGTTTTCAAAACCCTTTCTCAAAACCTTTCTTCAAAAATGTTTCTTCCCAGGTTTTTATTCGAATAAATTGAGAGTTATTCGAATAAGAGGGACTTCTGCAGATTGCAGTTCAGTCTGTTTTAATCGAACAAATGCTTGTTTTATTTGAATAAGGGCTGATTCTAGTTCTTCCAAAGTTTTGAAAATAATTCGAACAAGTAGCTATTTATTCAATATTTATTCGAATAAGTGGGCTCCCAGTTTTGCAGTTCATTCTGTTTTATTCAAATAAATTCAGTAATTATTTGAATAAGTCCTGTGTTTTCAAAAATTATGTTTTATCAAAACTATTCGAATAAATGGTATTTTACTCGAATAAATCGACAGTTTTCAACAACAAAAGGTCAGTTTTTGAATTCCTTTGGAGGTTTTTCTCATTCCTATCCTTATTTAATATAACTTGTTCCGTTTTTCAATACACAAGAACACCTAAGAACACTTTCAATTACATTCCCTTGATTATACAAAGAGATTCATTCAAGTCTTCATCTTCCCACTCAATATTCAAGTTCTTCATTTGAGAAATCTTTCTTCACTTTGAGTTGGAAAGTTTTTGTGTGCCATACACTATACGGTGATTGTAATCTACAGCAAATCCGCTCTTGTTTGAGGAGTATTATCCGCTGTGCAAATTGTTTGTAAGTTGTATTGTTGTAAAAAGCTTGAATTTGAAATAATTCAAGTTTTGGATTGAAATCCAAAGTCTTGTGAAATCAAGACTTCGGTGGAAAGATTAGAGGCTTGTGAAATCAAGTTCTCGAGTTGTACTCGGATTGTTAAACTCCGTTAAGTTTAACAAGGATTAGTGGAATCTCGGGCACGTTTGCCTTGGGGACTGGATTTTCTTAAACACCTCTATTCACCCCCCCTCTAGAGGTGTGAAAGGCGTCTAACAATGGTAGCAGCTGAAAGTGACGAGTCATCCAGTTCAAGCTCGGATGAAGAAGCCCTCGTCTGCATGGAGCGCAGAGCTGAGAAGTCCAACTATGAAGATCGGTGGACTATTTCAGAAGATGACACTCTCTACCTAATGGCCAAAGATGATGCTGAACAAGAGGTAACTTCACAAACCTCCTGCTCATCTTCTTATGAAAGCATACCAACTTCTGAAAATCTTTTTGACAAGTTCAAAAAGATGATGGAAGATTTTGAGGAAATAAATCTTAAACATTCATCTTTAACAGAACAGAACAAGTTATTGAGTGAAGAGATTCTCCAGTTGACTGAAGGTTGGAAAAGTCAACTAAGTGAGATCACTCAACTCAAGGCTGAGAATGAATCTCTTTCTGAAAAGTTGAAATCCCTCAACAAGGGTCGTGAAGGACTTGTGTATGACCCCTCCAGTTCCAAAAGGAAAGGGAGAACAACATTCATTCCTCCCAAACCTACTGTCAAACCCAATAAGCAGAAAGGTAAGGAGAAGGAAAAGGCAACAGAAGTTCCCAAAAAGGTAGTCCCTCCTAAAAACTATAGCAAGCTGGACACACCTCAAAGAGGAAACAATTTCAGAAGAAAACCTTCTAACTCACACTATACTCGAGGCTATACTCACTATGGGGTAGATAGAATTTTTCCAAGAAACTCTGAGTGGAGAACTATGCCAAGATATAGTCATCCTCCACCCCAGAAATTATTTGTTCCACATAAGTATGCTTACAACCCTCACAGGTCACACTATACACAACCTAGATAAAACCACAGGTCTCATAAACCTAGGTTTGCTAGGAGGAAACAGGAAATTGCACCACCTGCACGTATGAGAAGTCTATTTCGTTCTTATCATTTACATCATATTCTAAACTTTATTGCACGTAAATAGTATATAATCATCTCATAAAACGTGTTTTTAATGAATAAAACGCTCATTTTCGTTCCAAGAGTCATAAAAAGGGATTCCACTTGAAATCATCATAAATCATCCATTTTATGTTCAAATACTTGAGAAAAAGGAATAAATCATCAAAGGATCAAGATTTGGGCTTGAACGAGCTTCTAGGAGGTTAAAATCGACGTTCGAGCCAAAACAGAGCGAAATTGGGCCAAAATCGACGTCTCAACCCCTTTCGGGTTTCTCCTTCATTTTACTCCATATTTCGTGTAGATTAGCTTTAATATTAGTTTTGAAGTATTTTCCGGAGGATTTAACTCCCGATTTGTTCTGTTCCGCTTACACGGAGGTTGTAACGCCCTACAAATCGGCCTAGTTTTAAATAAATAAATATTATTTATTTATTGAGACTCATTATTTTGATATTAATAAATATTGAGATTTCGACCTCTTTAAATGGCTTTCCAAAGCTTATGTATTTTAATATAAAAAGATGTTTTAATAACGGACCTCTCAACATTAATTAAATAAATTAATTAATGATTGGGGTGGACCCGGAAGATTGAAAATAAAGTTCTTAGAAAAATTATTTGAACATGTCATTAAATTCGTTTTGACTGTCTGATTCCGGAAACACAAACGGATCTCAATTCGGACCCGTTTAGGGGGAAAAGCGCGTACCGTTCTGGTCAGATTTTAATATAACGGAGTAAATAAATATTTGTAACTCCCAAAACCATTCCACACGCCATTCATCCTTATTCATTCTTCCATTTTTAATTCTCCATTAATACTCATTATACCACCACCATTATATACAACCCTCTCTTCTTCATCCCTTCACCATTTTGTAACCCCCCCCCAACACCATTAACACACAACCATCCAACTCCCTCTCTCTCCCTCTTCCTTACGGACGCCGGCCAGTAGAATCCTAAAAGACGACGGAGCTCCGGCGAAGAGAAAGAAGGAGAAGGACGAGAAGAAGAAGGAGGTGTCCACGAGAAACCATTCGCCGTTCAACGTTGTCAACTATTCGTTCATCTCATTTCATCGTTCCGTCAATCCCTTCAACTAGAGGTGAGTAGTTGTCCCTCTAATTCTAGAACATTTAGTTATAATCTATGTCGTTATATTCATAGGAATATCGTGCGCAACCTACGTAGAATCTATGCATGTTCGTAGGTTAACCATCAAACATACGTGTGTCCACGTTATCAAGTTATGTACTCGTTATTATAAATGTTTTGAGACCTTGTAAGTTATTCGATTATCTAGCATGGAAATATAAACATTCGTTTCTAAAACTTCCAACGTTTTGATGACAAACAAACAGATAAAATGGAAATCAGCGTGCCTTGATAATCGAGTTACAGGATAGTACAATCGACTATCAGGCCACGCTGGACTCCTCAATGGATTTAGCACAGCGTGATAATCGATTATCACATATGTGATAATCGACTATCAGGCCCTGCGGATTCTTGGGTCTGAGTTGGCTTCACTGATAATCGATTATCACATAGGCAATAATCGATTATCAGGGCTCTCTGAACTTAGGACTTCCCGAACAAACCAACTTGACAATCGATTTTCATAAGGTGACAATCGACTATCACAGTCTGCAGGAC